CTACCCCCCCCCCCCCGATGGATAGCTTCGTGTCAAATCTGAACCAGAAAACCAGAATTATGAGTAAGCTTGAGGGCCCTAATAGGACATAACAAATGATCAGGACCGGAGCAGTCATAAAGGTGAGAAATGGCTGGCAAATGGATTGGCAAGAAGGATATTTTCCCTTCCCTGACTACCAGTCTTGGAAAGAAAAAACCTATCGGGGTAAAGCATGACAAATGTGGAATGATAAAGAGTCTGATTAACATGGATTGCAAACAACTCCGACTGATGATGTCCACAAGCTAACAGCAACTACAAAAAATACAATTTAAGGCAAAGGTGAAACAAAAACATGAAGCTAAGGGCTCAAAGAGAGGATGAGGTCATGCATATGAAACAACTGTAAAATCTCAATTTGTAATTGAAAAGGTCAGACCTGATAGTACTGAGAATTCCAAAACCTTCCAATATTTGGAATACTGAAAAATAGTGTAAAAGGATGCCTTATATAAAGAATCCATAGATGACGCAAGACCCATCTCAAATACCCAAGTTTTTAAATGGATATGGTAGATACTTTAGGATGAAGGGGTTTAAAGAATATGGAGATAAGCATCAATAACATGGACTCTGGCACAAAGTGTCATCATAGAGAAATGATTCCATTGTAAAGTGAGGAGGATCTAAAAATTGGTTGAATCGAGACAGATTGATGATTGGATGCCAATCTCCTGTCTTCTTGAGTACAATGAATAAATGGGAATAAAATTCTAGAAGAATGGGATCGACCATCTCTACTGCCCTTTTGACTAACAACTCTCTTATGGCCTAGGAATGAAACTTCACTTGCTATGGAACTGTTGGAGGTGAAAAGGCAACCAATTGTGCAGATAATGGTGGAGTACCCATGGATTCCTGGTGAAAGAACTCCAGGTGTCCAGAAAGTGATGTAATTGTGCTCCCACTGCTCCCCTGGCCACGAATTGTCACTGACGCCAAAGATCCTTGAGAATACAGACAGACCCTATTATGGGAACCAATGGAGGGGGTCGAGAAACACTACAAGCCAACACTCCCAAATTAGTGCCAGAAAGGTGAGAAGCCAACAATGATAAAGAAGAATGTAAATGAGCTGAATCAATTCATGATTCTAACATCTCTGGAACTCCGGGAAATAACATGGGATGGATAAAAAGAGCTTCCCGTAACTCCCTAAGGGCAGAAAAAGGTAAACTACTACATTGAAAATGAAATTAAAGATAAACATTACAAATTTAGTTTTAAACATCTACCAGGACAGAAGACTTAGAAGATAATATAAAATCAAGAGAGTAAGTTAAAAAGGGTATTGTAAAATCAAATTAGCCATAGAAAAACACCAAGCTGAAAATGTTAAAACAGCAACAATTTATTTAAGTATACATTATTGGTCAACATAACGTTAAAATGGCACATTTCAGGAAGGGTTATTACAGAATATTATGAGAAGGTTTAATTTCTAAATGTTTTCTTTCCTTCAATTTTCACAAGAAAAAGACATGAGCAATATTCCAGATCCAGAGAAATTTCTAGAGGAAAATATTACATATGTACATATCATCAATTGGGAAGATTCAAAAATGATAAGACTCCTGAGCCAGATATTTTTCCAAGGGTTTTAAAAAGAGATGAAGGTTTGCACAAGTAAGTCTCTTACAAAAACTTGTGGATCTTTGAGTGATGGCTAGATGTCAAAAGAGTGGAAGTTGGCTAATGTTACACCTATTTTTAAAAGAGGTGACATGAATTGTCCATTGTTTTTTAAGATTTATAATGTACGTAAATCAATATGTAGAATTATATACAGACCTTTCTCTACATTAAAATACCTTTATTTGCAAGCTTTTGGCTCTCTTACCGGAGCCTACATCTACTCTAGTAAGAGGGCCGAAAGCTTGAAAATAAAAATATTTGAACATAAAAAAAAAAAAGTCACTACATAATTCTACATGAACTGTCTATGTAATTATAGGTCAATTAGTCTTACTTCTGTGGTGGTAAGTTTTGGAGAGACTGATTAAAGCTTGAAAAGCAGCTTTACAAAGTTTTCAATTTTGTTGTATTGCCAGCATAGTTTCACACAGGGTAAATCTTGTCTCACAAATCCTATAATCCAAAGATGTCACTGCTTATACTGATGAGGTTAAATGTGTGGATTTAATATACCTGGATTTATGGTAGGCTTCCAACAAAGTGTCACATAAAATACAAGTAAAGATTTAATATACATGGATTTATGGTAGGCTTCCAACAAAGTGTCACATAAAATACAAGTGAAGAAAATTATTTTTATAAATGTGAGGAATAAGTTAGTTCAATAGATTGAGGGTTGGTTAAAATAAAGGAAGCAGATGGTTGTAATAACTGTTGTTCACTCAAATGGGATTGGAGTTGCAATCTGGACTCTGTTCTGGAGCACTTACTATTTTTGATACACATTAACAATTATGATAAGGGAATTCTTGAGGTCGGACATCTGGGAACTTTGCCCTCCCACAATGCAATGTCCGCATAGCAGCTGAGGCGAAGGGGCAAACAAACAGCCCACTGTCTAGACTCATATTCATAACAACTATTTGTGTTTGCGACAAACTTTTGTCATTACAAACGTACAAATATGATCAGGAGTTGTTTTGTATTCCATTGCAACAATAAAAAGTTGAAAAGACCTGAATTTTCCTTCTATTTTATACTCAGTCCTCCAGCTCACCTTAATAGTAAGCATAAAGCAAACATTTGTGGGATACTATTCATAGTCTTAAGACAATTTATTGATAATTGTTTTAAAACTTGTTCAACCTGGTTGTTTACTTTCTAGTGCATGTTTTCCCGAAAAAACAAGCTACTGAAAAGGAAAGAATAGTGTTGTGGCTGAAAGCTATCATCCACAGAATACAGGAAGCAATAGGAGAGCTGTGGGAGTCAAAGTGTGACTACATCTATGCGTGTTCAGCTCCTTTTATATCATTTAAATGTTTTCTTCCAATTATTTGTTTTCATACAAGATAATTGTACACATCTGGGTACTGCACACTGGGCCATTTTTGGGTTGTTGATCCATGTGTTAGCAGGGTGCTGGTAGGGGCAAGAATCAAGCCCAATTAATTTTAACTTTACTCGATATATAGCTGATGTCTCGGCCAACAACTTCTCCATGTATTGACAACACATTGCAATTGGCTATAAAGCAATAATATATGAACGATAATTGAAGAATTTGCACAGTAGCTTCAACAGTAACATGTGTATACGGCAGACCTATATAAATTGTGTACACATAGCTGTACTCTCTTCGCTATTGTTTGTCCCTTTGTCAAGAGGGAGATCTCGTTACCAGGCTGTGACTTCACGCCAACCTCAGGAATGGTAAACAAATTTGTCACATTTTCTGGTAATGATATTAAAGTTTTGGATGAAGTTTGCTGTGAAGAAGATGCTTTTGTTTTTCAAATGGATCTGAATCATTTAGCAAATTGGGCAAGTGTCATAATGGCATTTAATTATGCTAAGTGCAAGATAATGCATGTGGGCTACTTACATTTAAACTATAACGACCACTTTGATGGAAATCAATTTAATATTGTTATGGAAGAAAAGGATCTTGGTGTTTTGGTAGAGCAAACAAACTTAAGCCTTCCACTCCCAGGCAATGTTGTTGTTGCCAGTGGTGAAGCAAACTGGATTTTGAGTGCTACCTACAAAGAATATGAAATATAAATTAAAAGTCAAAGAAGGTTGTTTCTTGTTTCTCTCTGATTAAGACCCACTTTACCTTTTAGTTTAAAGAAGGACACCGGGTTGTATTAACATTATGAATTTAATAAGCAAATCTATTTTTCGAATGTTTGAAATCCGTTACCTTTAGTTTAGCCTTTAGGCTTTAGACTTGGTAGACGCAAGATTTGGGGGGGGGGGGAGCTTCAACAGAAGGCTTGAAAGTTGAAGAGCGTTTGTTTGGGGAGTCGGAGTGGGATAAAGGCATACGGTTGTTTGATTAAACGAATGGTACAATCACGACAGGCCAAAGGGTGCCTTTTCACAGTTTCTGTGTTCTTCACTTCTTATGTTTAATACTAATACTAATAATAATATTACTTTATTATTAGGACCTTTAGTCATTACTACCGGTACCAATGAGAAACCACAGTAATGTTACTTACGAATTACTTAGCGAGAGAGAACATCTTCTAAGAATCCTGCATTCATAGTTTAATCGAACCAAGCATTTCTTTGGAAAAGTTAATAATAGTTTATTTTTACTACGTTATCCATAAACGCCACGTAGCTTAACTTGCATATCAGTTAAGACTAATTCATACATTAATACAAGTTATTCCTTCCCAGATGTCGCCAGAGTCATTTATTTTAATATTGATTAAATTTTAGCCTCGTATAACAAAGAACTTGTTATGCGATGAGGACTATAATACATAAATATATTTTCACTATTATTAGTCCCGCACTTCCTAGTTATCCTATCATATAAGTTTTGTGAGCTTTTTATTTATGTTAGCCCAACTGGGAATTTCAAACCAATCATAAGTTCAAAGGTACTCAATGTTCTAATATTGGTTTAAGAACCAAATTATACTTTCAAAAGACACTTTGAAGAGAGGTTAGATATTTATAAAAACAAATTAAGACGTACAGAGGTTGAGTATGTGATATTAAAACAATTTTGGACCCTCACTACGTCGCTACAGTCTATGTCGCCCCATACAGTTATGCTCTATCTTACGACCATTTCTTTTACAATAGCCCTGAGGAGTAGCTTCCATCGCAAAACGCTCCGTCATAAGACTATCACATTAAAATCATACCACCCCTCCTTGTGTGCCATCCATAATCCATCTAAAGCATAAGAACGACAGCTTCTCATTGCTCATTTCAATGGTTCGATTGCTCAGAAATTCGCAGGTGTTGCGCCTGGCGTTTAGCTGGCAAGTCTTCATATTGTTGTAAGTTATATTTTGAATTTTGAAATGTGTTTGTTGGATAGAGAGCATAGAACACCTAGAAAGTTCTATGGATGTGACGTAAAATTTGTTAATATAATCGAAAGTATATTATATGTACGATATAGGTACCTAACTTTTATAAAAGAGTGTAAATTTCAATATAGAGAGTTCAATCAGTGTGTTTTCGTAATATATTTGCATCTGTGTTTGCCATAACACATGTTGTGTTATGTTATACAAACAAGTTGACTTGTTTTACTTTAGTTAATGTCGTTTTTATCGTAGACCTACAAGAAGTTCCGACAGTGTTCAAGCTTGTACAAATGTTAAAAGAGATAATAAAATAATTTGTTCTCGTCACGAGGACTGAACGTTTAATTCTTTTCACAGGATCACTTAAAAGAAACTGCGAACAAAAGAATAAAGCCATAGTACTAGAATTAAAGTGGAACATTAATTTTAACGAAATCACAATAGAATTTTGACTGAACTTCAGTTTCATCTCAGTGACTACACTGGCACAAATAGAGATAGGAAATATGCTAGACATGACACAAAATGGAGAGAAGAACAAATAAAAAGATACAGAACATTTAAAAAGAACAAAGAGAAAGGACAGAAAATTGGAAGAAAGATGTAAAAAATTAGATAGGAATTTAAGAGAGAATTTTAAAAAAGAGGATATATTGTTTAAATAAGAATAAAAATAAAAAGAAATCAGATTGAAGACGGGATCGTTGAAGCTATGTGGGCATACAGAGGAAGTTTAAAAAATGCAGAAGTACAGAGAGACTAAAGGTAAAAATGAAAATATGCATCAAAGCTATAATAACAAAATCAATGAAGTCAAAATGAAGTGGAAAATATATAGCATCTTGATGTAGCAAAAACCATCAGTGACAGAATAAAACATTTGGGGGGAAATGTGTTAAATGTTTGAGATTAAGCCAGCCTCACTTACTTTAGCATCAGCTTAAGAGTTCCAACCTAAAACACCATCTACTGAAAAATAACAAATAGGAGAACTTATTTATTATACATCTGTTACTACTGTTGTTGTGCCACTTGTTACTGAAGGTCCAGTCATGACACTACTAAAATAAGTTCCACAAATTAACATTGCCCAATTGAGGTCCCATGGGGATATGATGGATAGGTACTATAGAACACATATGAAACTCAGTTGAAAATAATTTCCAGGGTGAAAGTCAAATAGTGGACAACACGCTATTCTTCTTCCAACCAGATTAAAAGGACCAGCTTTAATAACATTGATAGCCTTCCAGCTGAAAGTCATAACAACTATCAAACATTGGTAGCTACCTCATTCAACAGATTTAATTGTAGTGACACAACAGAAAGAAGTATCCAGAACAAAGTCTGAAACAGGGTACATGAGAAAGAATATATCTCAGCCAAACTTGTAAAAGATTTGAAAATACGTGTCCAAGTATTTTATCTGGATGCTCAAAGTGAAAGGATCGATTCGTTGGTACGTGGAATATTTATGTGTAATTACAAAGAAAAACATGAAAATTATGTTGAAACGAAATATGTGTATTAGGATGCATCGAATTTACTTAGTCGAACATTTTATTTTGTAATTTCTAATCGGCAGGGTGTGCAATAGTTGCCTTTTATTATAAGAATTAATCTTATACAGTATGAAATTCCTCCAATTATATCACATTTTCTTCCTAAATCAGAGAAATATGTGGAGAAATGCATATTTTGACCACCTGAAAAATTCGCTGCTTGCAATGCTTGGAGATGATTTTAAGGCTATCAGACAACTTGCTCTTCGTAGAATATTAGCTGCTCGATCTACCTCAAATTCAAGCACAATGAGACAGTTTGTGGTTCCAAATATTAATATGGAAGCTCCACATTACACTGATCTAATAATGTGGACTGAGAGTAGAACCACCATTTAGAAAAATATAAGCAATGAGCAGTTGGTGTATTTAATTAATCAAAATTACACGCCAGTTTTCAAGTTCAGTATGTTGTCACACACAAGCAATTAAAAGGCATGTTAAAATAGTAACAGACGCTTCAACAGATGCTATCGCAGAACAAAGGGATTCATTAAAGAAAAACTTCAATCTCGCAAAATCATGAAAAAATTCTAATACTAAGAAACAATACATAATCCAGTAATTATATTGCCCAGTGGAAGGGTGGTTGGGTGGGCATGGGTGGAACTCCACATGCAACTACCTCCTCATGGTGAGTTCTGGGTAATTTAGGATATATAACTCCTAAATTAGCTAAACGTTGCATATCCAAAGTTATGGCACTTTGATTTCTCATATACTTTGATTATGGATATTTTAAGGAAAATACCCCACCCCTTTGTGGCAGTACAAGATATAATTTAGAAGCCTGAAATTTACCCATATAATTACTACAATTAAAAGGCACCAATCGCATACCCTGCCGATAATGATATAATAAATTTATACTTTTGATGCAACCTAAATTGTGTATACTCTTACAGGAAGCTCTGCAGTTGACAATGAAGCTTGAATCCATTAAGGTTGTAGATAAATTATCAAAGGCACCATATAGAATTTACAGGATCATCAGATTGAGAAATATGGAAACATCAACTCTCCGTAATGATAGTCTAGAAGTGAAAGTATTAGATAACTAGTCACATAGAATGGAAACATAAATCACAAGACAATAGATATTTCAAGTGCAACTTCAAAGGACATATTGCCCAGAACTGCAGACAGAAGCCTATATGGAATAAAAAATTGTCCAAAAAGATACCAAATGAAACAATAAGTTCATTGTATGAGGAAAGTCATCCAGGAGTTAAGGGGTTATTGATAGAAAACCTTGCTGTGTGTTGATCTACATTACTTCTACAGCTACAATTATTTGACCCAATTAGGAAATGAAAGGTGGAACATTGACCCCAGAGATCCATAAAGCAGATGGACTAATGTAAACAGCAGGAAGACATAAAGTTTCAGGTAGAAAAAAGTTGGAGGTACCCTTACTATAGAAAGCTTCTCTACCCCTCATGATATGTAAGTAATTGACTTTGAAGAAGAATGCATTTTGGGAGTTGACTTCATGTGGAGATGCTGATGCAAGGTTAAGCTAACTTCAGATAGGTTCACAGTCTATGAACAGGAATTTTGACTGCAATTACTACTTCAGAGGTTGAACTTCCAATGACAACGAGGATGGTGGTCATTGTACCACTAAGAAATGAAATGTTCATACAAGAAGTTATTGCTAATAAAACTACATCTAGTGACTGGAGTATATTGAAACTAAATGATCTGGTATGTACTGGAATATTGGTGGTTTGAAAGATATCTAGTGAATCTGAAAATAAATATGTCATACATGACTATATCTATGAAATACTTAGATTGTAATGAAAAATCGCTATGATGTTAATACTTATAAGACTGGATTCCATTGACGTGATATGGTAGGGCAGTACAATTCCCGCTACGAGAAAGGCCAAGCTCCAAAGTTAAGCAGGTGTTCGAAAGAGCCATATATAACACTGAAAATAATCAATGATGTGGTTTATAAAATCATAAAAGGCATATGCACTACAGAAAACAAAAGAAAAACCTTTAATACTAATATGTCTCTGGATGACAAAGACAGTTCCGTGGCTTGGTGACTCAGTGACAGTTTTCTACGAAATATGTGTAGGTTAAACTGTGTAACAACTAGCATATATATGACTTTTATTATTGATATCATTCATCATGACTGATCCTAATGTCATGCACCATTTTCAGGAAAAAAAAATCATATTTTGTCTTTCTTTTCAGTACCTCAGTAGAAAGAGGTACTTTGATCAGAATAGATTATGATTATTCAATTATCTCATGGTAAATCACACAAAAAATTTATCCTTGATAATTTGGTTGTCAATCCAAGATACTTTTTGTGGTCTGTCATGGCCCAAACCCAGAGTCGACAAAATCTGTAGTTGCCTTCCCAGTATTGGTTTAATAAGACACTTCCTATGGCACATCAGATACCTAGCCATAAGTGGTTGAAACTGTAGTCACCTTTCACCTTTTAATGGCATACTGCAGATTCTAGAGTGTGATTTACAATGGTAAAGGAATGAACAACAACTGATTACTTGAACATAATATAGTCAGAAGGGCTAAGAATTTTATTACAATTAGGATAAGTTTGGATTCAAAATCTATTGTTAAAAGATTGGGCTAAGGCTGTAACAGGACTGGTTACAGCAGACCTCTGTCCTAAAACGTCCTTCAGGAGTAGAGTGTAAAACAAACAAAACAGTGGTCAAACACCATATTTACAGGCTCGCTTGTGCTCATGCATAACCTACCTGTAGAACATGATCTCTACTACCTGCACGACACAGATGATGC